GTGTGTGTGTGTCGGAGCAGAAAAATAGATTTTAAAAAAACTTTACCGGATGTATTTGCCTTTTTTCATGAGCAGGAGCTTTTATTTTGAAGAGACACAGACAGTGCCTCGCTCGCCCTCAGTCTCTCACTCTCTCACTCCACGGTTGTGAGTGTGACACCGGGCACACTAAGTCTTTTTACTAAGACTTTTATTTTGAAGTCTGTACTAATCATTGATTTCCTGTTGTTTAGTCAGCTGATTGATTTGTTGTGGAGCTGCAGACTGAGGTTTGACCTTTGACCCAGATTCACCTCTGCCCCCTCGAACACTAGGACTGCGCCTGTGGGTTGGGGGCGGGGCTTCTTCTCAACTCACACCTGGAATGTACCAGTTTTGTTTTTTTGCTGTCATGTTTTTGTTTTTTGTTGTGAAATATTGAGTATTGATCTGTTATTAGTTTTATTGTTTGCCGTTTATAGATTTGTGATTTTTCTTTTCTTTCTTTTTTCCCCTGGTCAGTTTGTGCTTTTGTCGTGCGTCTACGGAAGCCTGTCGGTGCCAGAAATGCTCAGTTTCATTTAAATGATCATTGAAAAGAAAAACTGATATTCCTTTAAATAGCAACCTGATTCCTACAAAATAAAAGCCTCTATAGTGGGGGAAATTGGGGTTAAAACAGGAATCAAAGAATCAGTTTGACTTCCTGCAGTGCCCCCGGTGGCCTGGAGGAGTTTGTATTTGTGGCACCTGTGAGCCTCCGTACCTGACCTCACTCTGTTCTTCTGATTGAATGTCAGCTCGTTGCCTCCTCACAGCTCTGATTGTCACTCCCACCGAGGCCCGACGTTGGGTCATCGATCGGTCCCGCCTCTCTGACTAACGAAGGTGATCGATCATTGGACGGATTAATGGTGGAATGTTCAGGGGCTTTTTTACAGAAACAGGAGCTGCTCACCGTTTTCAGCCGCTTTCACGGGACGTGATGTCACAGCGGAGAGCGCTGCAGCCGCTGACAGGTTAAAGCTAGGCCGCTCGCTGATGTGGTGGGAAGGTCGAGTTGTGGCGTAGCGACAATCGGCTGTTTGATGAGTTTCAGCGCTTTCTGAGCTGTAAACTGCCCGTGTGCATGCTGCGTGACACACCTGTGCGTGTGTCTGAAACTTAACGCTGTGCGAGCATCGTGAACAAGCACACGACAATTATCTGAAGTGACAGCAGGGAAGTTCACGCCTCTCTGGGGAAACGTTGAGGAGTTCATGCTCACGTTTATGGCATTTCTCAACGTGATGCGCCACCTGGTGGCAGATGGCTGCATAATATTTAGGACACAATCGATTACCGCCATTGGTCAATTTAAATTTTACCAACTGGATTAACTCGTACGTCTGATAACGACTAGTGACAGTAGCGACCACGCAGTGACCACATGTGAGGTCAGATGTGCCCGCTGCTGTAACTCACAGTTCAAACAGGAAGTGAGGCATCTTGGTCCAACCGAGGTTTTGTTTTGTTTTTTTGTTTTTTATCGTAACTTTGACGATGTGAGTCAGCACGCGACGTCTCGCTGAAGGACGCCACTTCTGTTTGTGACCTCACAACATGCTGCATCTGCCCCATTATACACGTGATGATGTCACAGTGATGTAGTTTTACAGGGTGACAGAATGCATGATGGGAAACAGACCAAAAGAGTGCGCACTGCTTCAGTTGAAATTAAACCGCAGAAAAAGTAAACGAATCCGCACCAAACGTCACGCCGGCGCGTCGACCCCTGAGCGTGTGTGTGTGTGTGTGTG